CACTGCCTCCTACGCCCATCGTTGTTGTGTGTCAGCCGGCCTGCATCGTACTATAACTCTTAGAGTGTGTTTAGTGATAAGATGGTTGCTGATATTTGTCAGAACCTGTCACTAGTATTTACTCACGTCCGTTTTGAATATTCGTCCCAGAGATTGCGTTTATTGAAAACGATATATTTTGAGATCTTCAGAAAGGATGGAAGTAAATCTAGCTAGGCCTAGGCTGATATTTAAGCAACGGCAGCGGAAACCTGAAAGTAGATCTGATCAATGCAACGAAAGCGTGGGATACAGAGCTCACCGTGGGGAATTGTGACGGTGCACGCTTTTAGAGTTCATTAAAAGAACGCTTATAGTTAAAGTGAAAATTATTCCTGGAAATGTCCAAGTTGCTTTATCCAATGGAGAAACTTTTCTCAGAGGATAGCTATCACCAACTGATGGCGATAAATGCTAAATCTCAACGGTACACTTGATTGTGTCCGGTGAATAAGGGTCCTTAAAGGAAGAAGGGAAAAACCTGACGGTAGTTTACCTACCTGATCGATAAGCTAAGTCGCCATTCGATTTCTGAACCTTAATGGTTCTGAAAGGTGTTCCATGGTTATGTACCATGCCTTGATAGTCCTCAATTATACAGGACTGGTTAGAAACTGAACGTATCCTGCTGTTAGTCACCAGCGTAGGGTGAAAGTACTTCTGGTACGTGATTTGATGATCACGTCCAGCTTGAATGAATCTATCAAGAAACTTAGAGAAAAATAAGAGGTAAGAAGAAACAACTGCCGTTGCGAAACTGTCGGTTGAAGAACCGCTACATCAGCCTCTCCCTAGAAGGGTGGTGATAAGCAAACTTCGGCCAGACAGCCGAGGTACTGACTTTTGGAGACACCGCCTTGTGGTCGTGTCTGTGGTGGAACCACAAACCAGATTGTATAACTATGACCACAGTGGCCCCTGCGTTTTGCCGCACGTTGGTCTAGAGTGAAACTACTCATTGTTTACCAAATGATATAAAGAAGGTGGATCCTCCATATGTGTGTTGAACAGTTTTGTCCAGTTTATGGTGCATATGAAGGCTAATGCGTAAATGTATGACTGGATGAAATGTGAACGGGAGATGACTTCTGAGAGCGTTACCTGAAATAATTATTTTCCAGTTTGTGTAAATGTTCGACGAGAGCAATAAATGATGAAATATAGTACGATTATGAATGCATGTAGTTGTGAATGATGTGTCCACATGCAGCAGAGGGAAGGTGTTTGATCTTGGGTCAGTTTCTAAGGGTGAAAACACTGAGCGGAGGAGCAACGTCAACCTCGCCCTAAGCCATTTAGACTATTGGTTACAAAACAAAAGGCCCTGTAGAATGCAAGGTGCAAGATGTACATAGCGGCAAAAGATTGCCAATCGAAAAATACGAATAAAAAAATCTTGCAATCCTCGTGTTGTTCATAATGCGATTAAAAACGTTCCTCAGGTCAACAGTGTAAACAAAACAAAAAGAATCTGAGTACGCATAGAGTAACGCAAAACAAATGAACCAATAAACAGGTAAGCCTGTCTGCACTCCACGATCATGTGTAGGAGCCCCAAGGTTCTCGTTCCTCTGTATAAGGCCATTGTTGGGCCACACTTGGAATACTGTTTTCAGACATGGGCATTCTACTTCGAATAGAGATCGAACGTCAAAGAGGAGTGCAACGGTTTACTACAAGGATTATTGTGGAAAAGAGAGGTAAGAGCTACAAGCAGAGGCTCAAGGGCCTTAATCTGTTCTCGTTTGCAAGAAGGAGAATCAGAGGGGACCTCGTAGACTTCTTTAAAATCATAAACGGTCTCTTCGGACTCAAGTTTGATCAAATGTTTCAATTCATCCATTTAATTGATACTAGGGCGCATAGTTTAAGGCTGCAACATCTTCTTGCAAGGTTGCACGTCCGAGTCAAGTTCTTTACAAGGCACGTAATACCTGACTGGAATAGTCTACCCGAGGATGTGGTAAGTTGCTCATAGCCTTTAAGAGGGCTATAGATGACTGTTGAGCGTCTATATTCCATGAAACATTTTAAAGGTAAGTACCTGTTAGTCCTGATCGCCATCGCCTAGAACGTGATAATGCACCTCACATTCTGCTTTCAGACGGAACCTATTAACTCAGTGTTGAAAACCACAAGATCTGCCAACAAAATATTCATCTGAACGCACGATTCGCCCGGGTCACACATTCTACTGTGCAAACTGAACTGAACTGTTCAGTGGCAATCGAAACTGGAGATAAGAGCAGTTCGGTGATTATGATACAGTTATCAAAATGTCCTCAATCCCCACCAGAGTAAAATCCCTCGGAAGGAAGGCTAACTGCTCCATGCAGGACGTAGAGCGGACTTTTACGTTAAAAAGTGTAGTTGACTCCCGGGTGTTGCGCTCGAGGACACTGTTAAGTTGACAGAAGAAGCAAAAAAAAGCACCAATTTTTCAGCCACACAACCCAAAACTGTGGTGCAGAAACGTGAGCAGCGTTGGAAATAAATGGGTGTATTTCATGTTCAATCTTTGAAAATCCTTCCGAAAACATGATGATTTATGGTGACATAACTCTATCTGTGTGTTGCTTCTATATTGATATTTCTCAATCACAAACACCATACATTATTGTTTATCCGTTAATTTGATGCCCGGAACATTTGAATTTGGCGTGGTCAGAGAACGTGAGCGACAGTTTGGCTCTATCTGGACATCATATTTGGCTGGCTTGCTTGAGTGCTTTTGGCCGCATATTCCGGGTTTGCTTTATTGTAATGATTTTGTTAA